AATCACCAAGTGTTCCCTCTCAGGTGTCTCTTGGTAAATGTAAACCTTCAAACTCTCAGGTCGGAACTGAGTGTGTTTATACCGCTCGGGGATGATTATAAAGTTCAAGCCATTTGAAAATGGAAGGTGTTTAGAGGTAAAGAGTTCCCCATCTCTGGGATTTCCAAATACGAGGTTCTGGGAGAGAATGCAGACCCCTGGTGGAGCCAGGCATTGGATGCCTGCTGAAGTTGCTTTGGAAGCCTGAGCCTATGAGGTGGCGTGAGTTTCACTTGGCCACAGTTAACTAGAAGATGCTCATGCAGATGGCTCCGGGATTGGTTTCTTAGCTGAGTGGCCGTGAGCTCCCGTGGATAACTATGGAGCATCTGTGAGTGGGCATGCCCTCTCTCTCCAAGGCTGGCTTCAACAGTGAGTGGAAGGTCCAATGAAGGTACCTGTTATCACCCAGACTTCAACAGAGTAGGCAGCGTTGTCAGCAGAGGATACTGTGGTTCTTCTCACTCTATCACACGCCCGATCCATCTGTCCATTGTTCTGTGCAGAGGAGCTCAGTGTTAACAGAAGGGGAGAAGGAAGGAAGCGAAGGGAAGAAGCCAATGAGTCAGACATCTAATGCAAATTGCATGTGTGCATTGTATCCATGAGCATAATTCTATGTGATGGGATCCAGCATGCACACAGCCCCCCCAAAAAATGGAATGGGCATCTCAGGTGGCCTTTCCTCCACCTGGCAAGCAGAGAGACCTGGTTCTCTGCTCTTTCCAAGGCTTAGGTAATTCAGAAAGCCAGTCCAGAAGTCAAAACAGAACCATGTTGACCTAGTCTACTGACCAAGTAGGCCAAGCTAGAGCTAAGGTTAAGGTTGTGTTTATACCAGGTCTTCTTAAAGGGTCACAGAAAACCACCATGACCCATTAGCCATCCGACACATTTGCGTCGAGGCCACAAACACTGAGCTTCCCTGGGTGGTGGGGCTGGAGAAGAGAAAGAGGTGGAGAGTCATGAACAAAGACAACAAGACTCAGATGTTGGTAAGATGGCATCTTTCTAATAGCCTTTCTGAAGGTACTCACCTTTCTAGTATCCAAAGGCATTTAGCTCCATCTCTGTCTCTTCAGTCAGCTATGTTTTCACTTCTGATAACTCTCTAGTTGGTGCTGTACCATCATCATGGAGAGGCTGTAACAGAACAGCAGTTATAGTAGGTGATGTAGATAGAACATAAATCCATTCTCTGAGAGGTCTGGAGAGCAGGAGTCTCAAATCAAGATACCAGCCGTGTTGATTCCTTCTGGAGATTCTAAGGAAGTCTGTTCCATGCCTCTCTTCTCTTTTTTGAGGATGTCCAACTATCCTTGGTGCTCACAGATGTGTAGTTTGGATCTCTCCCATCTCTGCCTCCATCTCTAGTGACCATCATGTCTCTGTATCTATCTCTGTGTCTCTTCTTAGGACCTCTCTCAGAATGGATAAAGACTCTTCATGCTCCAGTAGGAGTGAGAACATGCTAACTGATTGCATCTGCAAAGACCCCCTAGTCCAATCAAGGTCACAGGCTCAGTTCCCAGGGTCAGGGCTCCAAATTACCCTTTTTAAGGATATGGATACAATTCTGCCCACCACAGGTACTCATCTACTGTGGGTGCCCAGAGTTGTTGGAGCTCTCAAACTCATTGCTATCAAGTTGGAACTGGTCCTCCAGCAGGTTTTCAGAGGCTGCAAATCTACATGGGAGGAGATTGGGTGGGGGACCGGCAAGTATTACAAATGAGCAACATGAATGCAGGGAACCTTGCGGTGATGGTTCTGTATCAACCTTAGAATCCTGGTTGCATACTGTTTACATTTTTGTACTCTTGTTTTGCAATTTGAGATGTTAGAATACTGGCATCAAGTGGGTAACAGGTACACAAGAGTCTCACTATTATTTCAAATAACAGTTTAATTAAACAAACAAATCAGGATGAAGCCTTACAGTCATGTGTGGGCAGGGAGCAGGGGCAGGTATGGGTGCAAAGTCAATCGAGGAAAACACACGGCAGACCGCACATCTTGATTCCTCTGAGGATAAGTCAGAAGAGAGGAGTCATTTCTGTTTTCTTTTTCTACCTCTTATTATTTGGCTTGTTCCAACATGTGTGTATGACCTGGTGATGTTGTTTAGAGCCATCAAAGGGCTCAGTATGTGTGTGCGTGCCAAGAAGCAGGAAGCTCTACTTGACCCATGCCTGTGTCTACAAAGATGTTCATTGTCTCCAGAACATTTAGAACCTTCAGTGTGGGAACCAGGAGCGAGACCAGAAGTAGCAGGGGCAGTGGGATGCAGCCTGTCCACTCTGAGACCAGCGGTATATGGCCCACTAGGAGTCTTCTTATCTCCGGGATCACAGCCCACGTCCCCTGGGGATGTTGCTCAGGAGTTGGGGAGCGTTCACTTGCAGGGTCCTGGACTTAGAGGCCCTGATCCCTCTTAGTCCTCCAGAGATGGTGGCGGCCCTTCCTCTAATTCACAGATAGTCATTCACAACAGATCAAAGCCAAATGGAACAGAGAGGAGGCTATTTCACAGACAAAGAGTAGCCAGTGGGCCCTAAAGCATAGCTCTAGCTCAATAATCCTTTCTCTTGAGTGTTAACTCATTCAGCTCCTTAAAGATTACATGAGATCAGGGCTGTGATTATCCCCATTCTACAGATAAAGAGACTAGGAAGTTTAGTGAACTTGTTTTCTGTACTCCATCGAGAACACAGTGGACTGTCAACCAAGAATACTGTACTCAGCAAAATTATCCATCAAATATGAAGGAGAGATCAAGATATTCCCAGAAAAACAGAACCTAAGAGAGTTTGTAAAAACAAGACCAGTGTTGCAGGAAGCACTGAAAGATGTCCTTCTTATAGAGAAACCACAGAAAGCAGCATGGACCAAAGTAACTAGCAACACCAAAAAGAACTCAACAAAATAATAGCAATAAAACCCTGTCTTTCAATAATCACACTGAATGTGAATGGTTTGTATGCACCCCTGAAGAGAAGAAGAGTAGCGGATTGGATAAAAAACTAAACCAAAATCCATCAATATGCTGTCTACAAGAGACACACCTGAAAAATGAAGATAAAGAGAACACGGTGGAAACAACATCCTACTTTACTTCTGACATTACTTCTGAGCCCTCCCCACTCTGTCTCCCCACCATCCTAAACCAAGTCCAGCCCACCCACCCACCACTGGTCTGTAAACCCACAGACTTCAAGGAAAGCGGTTCCTTATTGAACATCTCAGCTCTTTGGAGGCAGCAGCTAACAGAGCTGGACAAAGAGGGAGGTTTGGGAAAGTCAGTTAATTGGTGACCCAGTGACAGAGCAGCATGCTACAAGTCTCTCCCAATCGGAAGCGGAAGGAGACGCTCGGAGAATGTCCTCACAGAGGTGAGGTCAGGCTGGTCTGAGGGCACTGCTGGAGGCCAGCGGGATGCTGGGGGGCAGCTGCAGAGAAATCAAGGCCTAGCTGGAGACAGACCCGGCCCTGGCCACGTTCATGTCAGCGTGAGTTCTCCGCTGTCTGTCTGCAGGAGCGGAAACACTGACAGGCTAGTGAGAGAGTGGCTTGACACCCATGCACCCACCTGTGTCCGCTTCTGTGATGGGCATTCTTGGGCTCCAAGGCAACAGGGCCTGAGAGAGCAAGATGGAAGGTTCTGGAAGGAAGAAATAGTCACCATACCTCCCACTCCGTAAAGGCCAATTCAGAGTGGAGAGGGGAAGCAGCCAGGCCGCACACTTAACCTTTCTGGACGTACTATGTCCTGTGTTCTCCTCCGTGGTTACGCTGCCGGGGGCAGCAGGAAGCACTTGGCCAGCTCTGTGTAGATGCCGTTTACTTCAGGAAGGATCACACTAAGTGTGGTAGAGGAAGAGAGCAAGACGACAGAGACACCACGGGGGCAGATTCCATCATGGCACACTGATAACCAATCTCTCCATCCGACGTGGCCTTCTGCCACCTCTCCCACCCCAAAGCGCCCACCCTCTCCCCCTGACACTAAACTTTGCAAGCTCTGCAAACAATTCCGCCTCATTCCCCAGCCCTGTCTTTCTTGTCTTGTGCCCCCTCATGGAAACCCTTCCCTTACCCCACTCCCAGTAGGCAAATTCACTTCATTTCTCAAGACCTTTGGCTCCAGGGTCCCCTTGAGTATGAGGCTTCTATGTCCCACTGGCCCAGGACAGTCAGCTTGATGCCTTTTGTCCCAAGACATGCTCCAACTGTCACACGTGTCTGAGTTTGGGCCGCATTTGATGTCGTAGCCATTAACTCTTTCTGATGTCACAAATACCACATTGGGCAACTTATATAACTATAGGAAGTTATTCTTTTAGGGTTATAGAAGCTGGGCATCTGAAATCAAGGTGTCAGGAAGGGCATGTCTTCCCTCAAGGCTCAGGTGGGAGGACTTGGGGAGACAGGCTCCTTCCTCACCTTTCTAGCTTCTGGTCGTCTAGTGCATCCAGGCTTGTGGCCACGTCACTTCCATCTCTGCCACCGTCTTCACACACTATTTATCTCTGGGTATCTGCCTCTGTGACGCTTCCTTTCTTTCAAGGACACGAGTTGTGTTAGATTAGGGTTCACCTACTCCTATATGACCACATGTTAACTAATTACATCTGCAAAGATAACTGTTTCCAAACAAGGTCATATTCACAGGTACCAGGCTTTACTTGAATATGTCTTTTTGTGAATACAAATCGACCCATAATAGCCATCTTTGGGGTCCTTCCTGACTCCCCTAGGAGGGGGCCTCCCCTTTCTAGGCCCCCCAAGGCCTCCAGCCCCATAGTACCTGGGACACTGCTCACGCAGGAAGCTGTGGTCTGTGTAGGTGCCCACCCTCCAGGCCTGCCCAGCCATGGGCACCCACAGTGAATCTATCTGGAGTGAAAAGATGAATGAAACCACAGAGTATTTACAATGTTCTCTTCTGTTGTTCCCTCCAGGGATCTATAAAGGCCACTGCTTCCGGATCAATCACTTCCCCGAGGACAATGATTATGACCACGACAGCTCGGAGTACCTCCTTCGTGAGTACCGGGAACCTTTCCCTGCCTTGCTGTGCAAAAGGGAGTCTGTCACCACAGCAGCTGGAGAAGATGGGCCTGGGGGGGGCGTGGCTCTGGATGCGGCCAGGAGTTTTGATCAGTTCTGCAAACAGTTGGGTGACTCAGTGCAGGCGCTGGGCTAAGAGACCTGCTAACAGACTGCTGGGGACCCTGGGGACGCGCGCTGGGCTAAGAGACCTGCTAACAGACTGCTGGGGACCCTGGGGACGCGCGCTGGGCTAAGAGACCTGCTAACAGACTGCTGGGGACCCTGGGGACGCGCGCTGGGCTAAGAGACCTGCTAACAGACTGCTGGGGACCCTGGGGACACTGAGGCCTGGACAGAGAAGATGCTACCGGAGGCTTGGCCGGCTTCACAGGAGCTGAATGACTGGCCTGGGCATAGAGAATGCAGGTGTAGGCGTGGCAAACCTCAGAGATGCTGATTGGCCAGAGCTACCCAGAGCCTTGAGTAGGCAGTGCTAGCTTCAGAGAAACTGATTGGCTGGAATTGGTGGTGGCCTACTGGCAAGAAGCTGCGCTGCAATCCCAAAGTCACATAGTTCGAGGCTACCGCTGTTCTGTGAGAGAAGGAGCCGTTCCCTCCCATGTGATTAAACTGCCTCTGAAAACCCATTTTTCAGCGATGGGTCGGTTCCGACTAGACGGTACAACAACAACATCTAATTTCCCTGGTTATAACTCTTTGTAAAGGCAGACTTGCTCTCATAAAGTGGCTGGTGGATGTGACACATCAACCTTTCTCTTTAATACTTAGTGCTTTAATCACTGTACCCCCAGAATACCAGCTCTGGGACAAAGGAGGCTAAGGATACAGTTCGGGCCCTTGTGGGAGGGGGAAGGAACATCCCCCCGCCCCAAGCACATGGATCTGACTGCCCTTCCCTCTAACTATCAGCATTCCACTCCTGAAAATGACTAAGGCCACAGAGCGCTGAGGGCGAGCAGTCACCCCCAAGGCGGCCTTAGGAGGAGGAGAAGGAGGTGGCAGGAGCAGCCTCTGGTGGGCAGGCCCTGTATGTCTTCAGCCCCAGCTGGTGGGACCACCTCTGACCATAGATTGATTGCACCTCCAGCCCTTCCTAGTTGAATCACAGGCCCTTAAAGGCAGCCCAGTGTGTCCTGAGACACCTACCCAGCCCAGTATGACCTGAGACCCACCAGCCCAGTGTGACCTGAGACCCAGCCCAGCCCAGTGTGTCCTGAGACCCAGCCCAGCCCAGTGTG